TGCAGGTAATGTTCGTTGTTCAGGATTCATTCGTGCTCGAGTTGTGTTTCATTTCAACAAAAGGTGAGTAGTAGATTAGATATTTTGAGATTTGAAGAAGTTTGGATGAGTTTTGTAATGATCCTCAAAGTTTGCAATATTTCCGTGAGATTCGCATGATTCATCAACAAATGAGATATTTCCGGTGATATTCAATATACATGAGACTGTCAAAAATATTCAAGGTTCATCAAAGTTGCACAGATAGATGGGACGAATCTGAAATTGTTTTAAAGAAATTTGTACATATTATGGTAACACTCTATCAATTTTTTTTCTTAATAAAAGTTTGATCGTTGTACGAAAACTTTTAATGCAAGTAGGCAGAACGAGTTCTGTGAGTAGAACGTACGAAACAATGTTGGCATTGTCGACAGGTCAAGATCTGAGGCTAGACAAATAATTTTTTTTCCTGTTTATTCGCTCGCTGGCCGTTTCCGCGAAAACGGAGCAAAAAAGGGTTCCACAGGCAGAGCGGAAAATATACAGGGTAGTATGATGCGGAGCGGAAAATATACAGGGTAGTATATGAGTTGTTACAATATGTTTATTTGCTATCAACTCAGATTTTTGGCAAGTATTGACAATCAGTGTATAATTTGTAGACAGCATCGACGCTTGATATATCATGCTGAAAAAACTGAAATAAATATGAAGGGTATCTGGTTGACCAACGTGTGTCTGGGAGGAGGTGGCAGGTGATATGGTTTCGAACATGTTTGGCCATGTATGCTGCAGATATAGAAAGTGTTATACCAAGGTATTGTATATATTTTGTATTCATAGCATTGAGGAGTTTGATTCACAATCAGAAAGTTGAAAAATATTTGTATATCAGGACAGTAAACAGGAAAACTCCAGATAGGAATTCCGATGTACAAATGTCGGGAATTAATTGGCAATTGCGGGATTTCGATAATTAGAGGAGAATTGTGAGAATTTGAGGGCAATTGTTGGAATCAGGAATATCAATGATGATAATGAAAACAAAAATTAAAAAGGTTGGTTTCAGTTTGGGCTTTCTGGTTTTTGAAAACTTTGGCTTTCTGACTGATAAGGATCAGTTTGGGCTTTCTGACTGATGAGGATCAGTTTGGGCAATTCTGACTGATAAGGATCAGTTTGGGCTTTCGGACTGATAAGGATCAGTTTGGGCTTTCTGACTGATAAGGATCAGTTTATTGAGCTTTCTGACTGATAAGGATCAGTTTGGGCTTTCTGGTTTTTGAAGCTTGGGCTTTCTGACTGATAAGTTTCAGTTTGGGCTTTCTGGTTTTTGAAAACTTGGGCTTTCTGACTGATAAGGATCAGTTCGGTTTCTGACTGAAAAGGATCAGTTTGGGCTTTCTGACTGATAAGGATCAGTTTGGGCTTTCTGACTGATAAGGATCAGTTTGGGCTTCCTGCTTTTGAAAACTTGGGCATTCTGACTGATAAGGATCAGTTTGGGCTTTCTGGTTTTTGAAAACTTTGTCTTTCTGACTGATGATGATCAGTTTGGGCTTTCTGGTTTTTGAAAACTTGGGCTTTTTGACTGATGAGGATCAGTTTGAGCTTTCTGGTTTTTGAAAATTTGGGCATTCTGGTTTTTGATAACCTGGGCTTTTTGGCTGAAGGAATTCTATCTATCATGGTTAAGTTGATATGCATTTGTGGAATGAGTTGTTGTGATTCATGAAGCTGAAGTTGATTGGAGACACGTTCGACTCACAAACCTCTGAGCTGTCAAATATGTCGTTGACATATTTGAAGGCATGTTCGATAAACAAACCTCTGAGCTGCCATATAATAATAATAATAATAATAATAATAATAATAATAATAATAATAATAATAATAATAATAATTTATTCACAACTATAAATATGTATAATACATTTCATAAATCAGATGATCAATATTAGTTGCAAAAAGGGGTTGAAAACAATTAAAATTGATCCTAGTTCAACCCCTGGAGTTAAATAATTTAAAAAAATTAAATATTTCCGCAATGTAAATGTTACTAAGTTGGCTGTTGAAGATTGGAAATCAGTTAATACTTCATGTATATAGTTCAGTATTTCATGACGAGATTCTTGTATGATTTTTTGAGAGTATCAGGTTTCAAAGATTTCATTTCATATGGCAGTTCATTTAATAATTTAAATACATTATAAGTGAATGATCGTTGGAAATGCTGTGTTTGATGAGGTGGGGGGGAAATATAACTTTTGAATCTTAAATTCAACGTATGTACATCAGTTCTGTATTTTATTTTATTACATAAATAAGGAGGGCATTTGGTGAATATAATATTATGGAATAAATTCACTGCATGGATTTTACGTCTTTCTTCCATGCTCAACCACTGGGTTTCCTTCAATTTGAAGGAGATACTTTCATATTTGCGAATGTAATAGATGAATCTTAAGCACGACTTCTGAACTTTCTGGATTCTTTCACTATCTTTCTTATCTATACACGGTCCATATACAGCATCGCAGTAATTAAAGTGGCTCAGCACCAGTGAATCTGTTAATTTTATTTTCAATGACTCTGACAACAAATGGCGATTAGGGTACAACATTTTCAAGCTACCATACGCTCGTTGGATACATTTATTAACGTGCGGCTTGAAACGTAAATGAGTATCAAATTCGAGACCGAGATTTCTTGAATTTTTGGAGCACTGCAAAGAATTATCTTGAATTTTAACACTAAACACCGATTCTACCAACTGCTTTTGTCTACCGAATATTAATACTGATGACTTTGATGCATTCAATTGTGAATTATGGTTATCTGAAAATGCGATTAATCGATTTAAATCAAAGTTAATTTTATCTTGAGCTAGTTGTTTATCGCTTGGGAAAAAAGACAAATATAATTGTGTGTCGTCTGCATATAAATGAACAGAACAATGCATCAGGCACGTTGTTAAATTATATGTGTATATACCAAACAAAAGAGGGCCAAGTATTGAACCTTGAGGAACTCCGCATACTGAAAGTTGTTTCGTTGAAACACCTTTGCTGGTTTCTACAAATTGAAGTCTGTTTGTTAGATAATCCCTCATTAATTCGATCGATTTCTCAGAGAATCCAATGAAATGTAATATAGATATTAACAAGGAATGATTCAAGGTATCAAATGCTTTCGAATAATCAAGAAGCACCAAAGCTGTTGATTTTCCCTGATCTGTTGCTCTTATAATGTCATCTGTGATATTTAGTAAAGCAGTGGTGCAACTGAATCCTGGTCTGAATCCTGATTGATTTTGTGGCAATATATTGAAAGTATTCAGATGTTCCCTGATTTGATAATTCATAATTTTCTCAATAACCTTCGACAAACGACAAAACTGGTAAAATGCTAACAGGTCGTAAATCGTTATAGACAGACGGATCTTTTTTTTTTTGGTAATGGAATAACTCTGGCGATTTTCCAGTCATCTGGAAAGATGTTATCCAAAATACAGGAATTTACTATATTGGTGATGAAGGGAAGAATTCTTGAACAACATAGAAGAATCATTACTAAACTTATCTGATCTGACCCTATGGCAGTAGAGGTAACCTCTAATAGATATGTTTTAACCGTATCTACAGAAACTGTATGAAAACTAAATAATTCCACAAAATCAGTTTTAATGTTGCTTTTATAATAATTCAAGACATAATCATCAGGAGGAGTGTTTCTTGTAGAGAATTGTAGAAAATGTTTGTTTATATCTTCTGGAATATCGAGTTGACCCGGCATCTCTACATGCTGAGTTTTTGTATAAATATTATTTTCCTTCAATGTTTTCCAAAGTTCTTTCGAATTGCTCATATTTTTTGTTATGCAGTGCTCTAAGTGACTCTTTTTTTCATTATGCAGGGCAATATTGGTTTGATTTCTAACTTGCTTATAATAATTGAAATTCGCATCAGTTTTTGTTTTGATATATTTTTTTTATGCTCTCTCTTTAAGCCTTATCGTTGCTTTAAGATTATCTCTTAACCAACCTGGCTTTTTATTTCTGACTTCAAATTCTCTAACGGGTGCCAAGATATCGAATATTTCAAGTAATAATTTATTCAAATATGACACTTTTTCGTTAACATTTGGTAAATGGATCATAAATTCGAATGGGGCGTTGGCCAGAAATGTTTCTAGGAGGTCTCTTTCAATATTTTTCAAATTTCTTGTTTTTGATTTACGATTTTCGTTCTCCACTTCCTTATTCAAACTGCAATATACCAGCGAGTGGTCTGACATATTTGAAGTATCTTTAGTACCACTTGTGAAGTTGATCTCGTTCGTGGAAATCAATATGACATCCAATAGTGTATCGCTATTGTTTGTTATACGAGTTGGATGTGTAATAATCTGTTGCAGGTTAAATGTCTCAATAGTGTTTTGAATTTTTTCTGCATTTTGTGTCTGTTCAATCAAATCAATATTCAAATCTCCCCCGCATATTATCTCGTTAGAGCCATATTCAGCTAGACGATCTTCAAATATTTCAATAAAATCAGTAACCTTACTTTGAGGCGGTCTATATAATGATCCAATAATATAAGAAACTTTCTTTATTTTGATCGATACCCATATTTCTTCTAGATATACCTGCATTGAAGTTCTTAAAATATTGAATGTTAAATAAGTTATCTTTAATGTACATACCTATGCCCCCACCTCTTCCTTCCCTGTCCTTTCTTATAAAATTATATCCTTCAATTTCAACCATATGATCTGAAACATTTGGTGTCAACCATGTTTCTGAAATACCTATTATATCATATTTTTTATCAAGAATCAACATCCTGAAATCCCTGAAATGTAACAAAAGTGACCTAACATTTAAGAATGCTACTGACATTTTCTTCATAGTAAATAACAGCCAAAAAAATATATATATATTCAGTTGATGACAAAATTCTAATTTTAATCAAAATAATCTTCTTCCTTCTAGTTTCTTTCCACTTATGGTTCCGGCTCTATTGATCTATTTTCAATACATCATCTTCACTCCTCAGACATATTTTTTTTCCATTTACTTTAGTGTAGATTCGACCCTGCATCGTCCAAACCATTTTAGGACCGATTTTTTCCTTGGCATACAGCAGAATTTCGTGTCTAGCTTTGGTTAAGTCCTCAACCAATGTTATTCTGCATCCCTTGAGTAGTTTCTTAGAATCATACGCTAGGTTACGTTCCTGGATATTTTCAAATTTGATAATAACGGCTCTCGATTTATTTGGATTTGGATTTCCTATCCGGTAGCATTGTAGTAACTTGACGTTTTTCATGCCCATTTTAGAAATTGAGATATTTTCTATTTTCGGCTTTAGGTTCTCTTCCCGTTCTTCCGTTATGCCGTATATCCTCAACTGGTCAAGTTTAGACTTCTGTTCCAGCTCATCAATTCTTATCATCAGATTTTCGTTGTCACCTTGTATATGAGCGATTTTCGTTTCCAGCGTATTTATTTTTGTTGCAAGATCCTCTAATCGTCTGTTCACTTTTTCAGAAACCTTATCAGCTAATTTATCTGCCAGGCATTCTAAAAAACGATCATCGCCCATCAAATCGTGTACAATTTCTTTCGACACTTCTTTGGCTATGTTTCTGTATTCAGATTTCTGCCTCTCCGTCAAACCCATCATTTATGATTCGATGTAATTTGATTGATTATCAGTAATAGTTGGAACAACTTACTGCTTCGTGATTATTATTTAACATATATCGACACTTAACACACTATTCTATTATTTGGCAAATTTTCACACAGGAATTCACCAATTTACTCAATATATCGAGGACACAAGCCGGAGCTATAAAATTCGTGTCTATACACTACGGAAGCATATCACTGTAATTTTTATTGGAGACACGTTTGACTCACAAACCTCTGAGCTGTCAAATATGTCGTTGACATATTTGAAGACACGTTTGATAAACAAACCTCTGAGCTGCCATATAACTGTTCTATCGAAGACACGTTTGCCTCACAAACCTCTGAGCTGTCAAATATGTCGTTGACATATTTGAAGACACGTTTGATAAACAAACCTCTGAGCTGTCATATAACTGTTCCTTTGGAGACACGGTTGACTCACAAACCTTTGAGCTGTCGAATACGTCGCTTACGAATTTGAAATCATAGGCATATCAAAAAAATCATGAGCTGCTACTACTTGGAGTCTGTCGAGCGACAAGAGTCGACAGAGCGCCGATGTCATCACATATGATATTTATTCATGATACTTACACAATATCTACAACCAGTTTTGAACGTTGAAATGAAACAATGATACTTTCAAGAAATAACGCGTGTTTCTTTTCCATTGAAACTTCACAATGTACGGTAGGTAGAATAATTGCTAGAAAATACTTTCATATTACATTGGAAAAATGATAGATTGAAACAACAAATTATTGTTCATTTCAACGTTTGATATTCAGATATTCATAGCTTTTGGTATACTTGTTACGTGGTTCAATCGTCTAGGTACTGATATTGTACAAAAGTAGTAGAAAATGACTAATTCACAAACATATATTACTCACTATATGAAAGAGAAAGCTTATTGATAGTCGAATTCTTCAAACGATTATCAGACTTATATTTCAGTATTTGATTTCCATCAGAAAATACTGATTCAATCACTTTTAATATTCAACTACCTCAAGATGTGATAATCCTACGTTCGAGATACTGAAAAATCGTATCGTACCTATAGAGTATTGGCCTGGAAAAGAATCGATGAATCCTTGAGAATACTGCGTTTTTATTTAATATTCACCTACAATAATATTGAAATCACCACTTATTCTGAACAAATATGCTTGTGAATATTATTCGCATCGTTTGGTGTTCTAATATCCACTTGCATCCATTCGTTGAAAGTTGATGATTGCATATTTTTCCATTAACCGATTTTCTCTCACAAGAATTTTCTCAGCAATCATATTTCCATTAGTTGATGAGTTTTCAATACAACTCTCACAGCGATACTATACTGGATTTCCAGTCACAAGGAACATCGGTACTTATTGTCAAATTCCATTTTTGACTTCAGTTTGAAATGGGAGATAACTCCCCGGGGAGAGTTGAACTTTTCTCAGTAGAGATGTTCCAGATTACAAATAATTGATTGATAAATCGCCTTCTACTAGGGAAGCCATTGGCAATTTATTCTTATTCGCGAACAATCATAAATTCAATCCTCATAATATCTGTAATGAACTGATATCAAATATACTCTGAATTCAATGAAACCGTGATATACGGATATTAATTTGACGAAGGAAATGATCTCAAGGTCAAATTTTCTTCATCGAAAATAAATATTCCATCAGACCTGTTCGTGCGAAGAGCTGACTCCAAGAACAGGAACAAATGAACCTAGGAAAAGCAAAAGATCTCAAATAGATAATGGGGAGAATGATAACTCATCCAAATCATCTCCACGAATTTATTCAATGGAATATAATGATGAAGATAATGATACAGGTCATGATAATTTTGGCCAATTCTCCATTTATATAAAATCTCTAGACAAAAATATTGGTTTTTCATCTAATTCAGCGGTGAGCAAAATTGTCCATCACAGTTCAAGATAAAATCCAACTTCTATTGAAAGGAGAGGAAAAAATGAACTGCTATTATTCCAAAAAATAGAAAAGGCGAATAACTTGCTAGATGATAATAATTTCATAACAAAAAATAGTTCATATAAGGAGATTGAAGGAAAAGAGTATAGTTAATGGCGAAATGCAATACATATATATTTCAGTTATATTAGTATCGTCCAGAGGACAATATATTTCCAAAAACATTTATATATACAATTCCGTCTTTGAAACTTCAAACCTCATGCACCAGTTATTCAATGCCCATTGTTATTCATGATACGGACATACAATGTGAAGGAAAAACCAGATGCCCGAAATGCACGGAAAATCATGAAAAAGAGCTATATGCCATAAAGACGAACCTAGATGTCTATATTGCAATGGTAACCACCTTTTTTTTTATCGCGTGGAGCGCACGAAAGGGAATCCCTATAATGTTCAAAGAACATCGTGCGTTCCTAGGGAGGATAGGGACAGAAGGTAGGTATTGGATTTTTTTTTGAACTTATGGAGATTATATGTTGTTGGGAATACTTCCACATGCAATGAATTCCAGAGCCTAGCCGTTCTATGGATGAAGGAGTCTTGATAAAGTGCTGTTCGACATCTTTCGAGGTTGACAACGAAAGGATGTGCTGACTGGGCTTGTCTAGTTCGTCTGATTGGTATTGCTAGTGAAGGGATGATAGCAGAGATTTTCGAAGAACATTTTCCGTGGAAGTATCGATAGAAAAGTGAAAGGTCGCCGACCTTTCTACGGTGTTCCAATGATGTCAAAGAGTGAGTGAGTGTGGCGTCACCCACCAGGCGAATGGCTCTTCTCTGGATGGAATCTAAGAGCATCAGCGTATGTTTTGGTGCTGAACCCCATATGTGGGAACAGTTTTCTAAAACAGGCCGTATCTGCGCTTTGTAGATCATGAGAAGCTGTTGGGGTGTAAAGTAGCTTTTCGCACGGAACAAGAATCCGAGTTTTTGTGCAGCAGCTTTTGCGATGGATCTGACATGATTATTCCATGAAAGAGTGTTGCTGATGGAAATACCGAGCAAAGATATGGTGGGATTGGTGGGGATGGTGGAGCCAGACATTACAATATCGGGCATACTGAGTTCCGCCTTTCTAGAGAAAATGCAGGCTTGAGTTTTGGTCGCGTTGAATTCAACTAGGTTGTTGGTTCCCCAGGCTGTGATTCCAGCAAGATCTTCATTGACAGCATTGACCTTCTTTCGCCGTGAGTTCTCAGTTTCCTGGAAAGAAATGGAAATTCTGGAAGAGAACGCAGTATGGAGTACTATCATCTCCAAAGCTGTAGATAGGGCAAGTTGTTACTCCCAACAGATCATTGATATGAAGCAGGAATAATGTTGGCGCCAAAATTGATCCTTGTGGAACGCCGGAATTGATGCCAATGGTATCAGACGATACACCGTCCACCACCACGTGAAGCGATCTGCCTGAAAGAAAACTCGATGAGAGAGCTGAGGTGGCAGGCCGTATGATGATAGTTTGTGGAGGAGTCCTTCGTGCCAAACGCGGTCGAATGCTTTCGATATGTCCAACGCGACAGCTAGAGATTCCCCGTGTTTTTCTATTGAAGATTGCCATAAATGGGTGACGAAGGCAAGTATATCTTCAGTAGATCTTCGGTGGCGAAAGCCGTATTGTCTATCATTGATGATTCCTGAGCTCTCCAGATATTTGATAAGCTCAATATTGATGGATTTCTGCATCACTTTGGAGATTACTGATAACAGGGCAATGGGCCTGTAGTTGTTGGGCAGGTTCTTGTTCCCTTTTTTGGGGATTGGTTGGACTCTAGCGGTCTTCCAGCATGATGGAAAAATACCTAACCTGTACGAGACGGTAAACAACTTGCAGAGAATCGGTGTTAATTCTGGTGCACATTTTTTGAGGATAATGGGTAAAATTCCATCAGGACCGTTGGCCTTATTCGTTTTGAGACCAAGCAAAATTCGTCTGATTGTGCGTTGACGGAAGACCATTAAGGGCATTTGACTCTCAACGGGTGGAATGTCTGGCGGCAGTTTTCCTTGAGAATCTGAAGTAGAGTTTGCTGCGAACATCTCTGCAAAAATATCTGCTTCCTCCTGTGATGTTGTTGCTAATGTGCCGTCGGATTTGGACAGTGGTGGAAATGAACTATTAGTGAAATTTCTTTCGACCGCTTTAGCAAGGGACCAAAACGAACGGGAGCCATTGGGGCAATCTATGAGTTTCGATCTTATCTTGGCATTGTATGTTTCTTTCGAAGCATTTATTGTTTGGCTGCAGTTATTCCTGGCATCAACGTATTCTGCTCTAGTCGCGAGGTTAGGGTTTTTGCGCCAGCGATGGTAAGCTGTTTCAAGGCAACAGTTCTAGAACAGTTTCTGTTGAACCAGGGTTTCGAAGGTGATGATCTTTTCGAAAAATGAGGTATGTATGTGTGCATGATGATCTCGGATATTTCCGCAGCACAGTGTGAAGGGTCCTCAGAGTCAAAGTATACTCTATGCCAAGGAAACTTGAAGAAAAACATGCAGAGACCGTCTCAATCTCCTGAATTGTAATGCCATATAAGACGTGGGGGAGTCGGAGCAGTTGATGGAATGAAAAATGGGCAAGTTGTGAAGATGATTGTGTGGTCAGAATTGCCAAGTGGAGCTCGTACATCTATGGTGTAGGGTGCTGAATTATTAGTGAGGAATAAGTCAAGTATGTTAGCTGAATGGTTATTGGCATCGGGAATTCGTGTGGGTTCTTTGATAAGCTGCTCTAAGCCGTGAGTGATGGCGAAAGCTTCGGCTTGTCGCCCAGCTTCATCCGTTCTGTTTCGGAGTGTACGAGCCAAGCAGTGTTGTGTACATTGAAATCGCCCATGATGATGATTTCTGCTGCTGGATGGTTCTGTTGAATTTGGTCAAGCTTCAGAGACAAGAATTCGAAGAGCTCTTCATAGGATGGATCATTTGGTGATAAGTTGAGACAACAAAGGTATTTGGTCTGTTTCTGGCTTTCGAGTTTGAA